GTGTGTGTGTGTGTGTGTGTGTGTGGCTGACCTTCCTGTGACATCCTGTAGGTGTCCCTGGTGAACAGAGCAGGGGGCAGTTTCCTCTTCACCTGCTCCAGCGTCATACCACAGCTCACCTCTAGTCTGTCCGGCCTGCAGCAGCACAACAGCAGCACTGGTCAGAAACACTGGTGAAATTCCAACCAATCCTGCGCCGCGTGTCTTCACTCACAGTTTGAAAGGAAGAAAGGGCCGCGACGAGGACCGAAGACTGATGGGGAATAACTCCTGACCTTTGTTGACCAGCGGACCGCTCCACACAGTGTAGCGCTTCCCTGCAGCGGGGACAAACAGTGACTTCAGCTGCTTCACCGTCCTCTAGGTGGCAGCAGCAGCAGACAAACATGGCTTTTCAGAGGAAAGGTTGAAATAAAAAGTCTTACTTCGACTTCCTTCAGATGAAAGTGTGTTGAACCTGAGCACAGAAAAAAAAAAGAATCAACCGTGACTGATGCTGACCATACCAGCAGCCGCCCAGCAGGGGGCCCACGTACCTGTGAGCAGCCATAGGAGCCGCAGCAGCCTCTTTGTCTTGGAACTTGAAGGAAACCACGGCGTAAGGACAAATGTGGCGCGGCCGCGGCCTGATCTCCTCAAAGGCAAACTCATAAAAATATTGCTGTGAAAAGAAAAGGATTGAAAAAACAACAACAACAACAACAACAACAACCACCACCAGGACAGAGTGGCTGTGGAGCCAGTGTTCACCTGTGTCAACTCAAACGCCCTGTAGGACAGCAGCGACGTGACCCTGTTGACGCTTTTGGACAGGTGACAGTCAAACTTCGGCGTGGGTTCGATCCCCTTCTTTGGCACGTTCTCGTGGACGTGCTTGATTCGACCCTGAGAGACAGAAAGATGGGTTTAAAGTCCCCCAGAGAAGAAGGAACACAACCAGGGGGCGCTGTTGTTGTGTTGTATTGTTGTTGTATTGTTGCTGTGTTGTTGTTATGTTGTTGTTATGTTGTTGTGTTGTTGTTATGTTGTTGTTTTGTTGTTGTTGTGTTGTTGTATTATTGTTGTTATGTTGTTGTTTTGTTGTTGTTGTGTTGTTGTATTATTGTTGTTATGTTGTTGTGTTGTTGTTATGTTGTTGTTGTGTTGTTGTATTATTGTTGTTATGTTGTTGTGTTGTTGTTATGTTGTTGTTGTTGTGTTGTTGTTTGTTGTTGTTATGTTGTTGTTGTCGTTGTGTTGCCGTTCAAACCTTCATGACTTTGAAAACAACGATGTCTCCTGATGAGCCCACTTCAAAAGGATTCATTTGTAACAAATCAGAGTATTTGGAGAGGTAGACACCTGGAAGGACAGGAGACACCATGAGGTCACAGACCAACAACAACTGACCACCATCACAGCAGTCTTCTCCTGGTCCATCCACCATCACCATCATCATCATCACCGTCACCATCACCATCACCATCATCATCATCATCATCACCATCATCATCACCATCATCATCATCATCACCATCACCATCATCATCACCATCATCATCACCATCATCATCATCATCAGTTCACTACTGACCCTGTCCATGGAGAATCTCCACCCCCTCCTCCCACCTTTCCTCCTCCCCCTCCTGACTCCACCCCACCTCCTCCTCTTCTCCTCCATCACCGTGACCTTGGACGTGGTCAAACCACAGACCTACCGACTGACGGATTTCCCAGTGTGGTTATCTTGGAGTGTCCGACAGAGAGACCCTTCTCACAGATCCAATGGAGCTGGACACAGTAGAACACACACACGTTACAACACACACACACACACACACGTTACAACACAAACACACACACACACACACACACACACGATACAACACACACACACACACACACACGTCACACCACACACACACACACACACACACGATACAACACACACACACACACACACACACACTTCCATCACCACTGTGTTCCTGAGGTACTGACCTTGGACTTGTCTGGATACAGGAAGCAGTAGGACTCGGACAGTTCTGGTTCCGTCCGCCCCTCCTGCTTCATCTCCCTCCGCTTCTCAATGAACTGGTGGAGAGGTCAGTGGAGAGGTCATCATCATCAGTTACCACGGCAACACACTCATCTGCTCATTGACACTGTGTGTGTGTGTGTGTGTGTGTGTGTGTGTGCTTTAAATCAGCCATTCCTCTCAGATTAATTAACTCATTAATGAGCAGCTGGGACCAAAACACACAACTTTACCACTGACCCACAGCACTGACCCACAGCAGTGACCCACAGCAGTGACCCACAGCAGTGACCCACAGCAGTGACCCACCTCCTTCTTCAGCAGTTCGTTGTTGATGAGCCGGGCCTTGCAGTAGGAGAAGGAGCCACGAGACGATGGGTCCAGGTAGAAGGACGACACAATCTTCAGCAGGTCCTCGAACTCTCGGCTGTCGGGGGCCAGAAACTGGTACAGACCTGCACACGGGGGGTGGAGGGGTGGAGGGGGGGGGGGCTGTGTTACTCTAGTCACTTTAGTTAGTTAGTTAGTTAGTTGGTTAGTTAGTTGGATAGTTATCACAGATGAAGGACATCGTCCTCAGTGTCATCACACATCACTAAACCAAACCTGGTCTCACACACAGACTGGTCACTGGTCACTGGTCAGCAGTGACCAGTGACCAGTCCAGTCCTCAGTGACCACACACCGACCGGACCTCAGGACCACCGGGGTGCACACACTCTCCGAGCGCCGCGCTCTGTGACAGGCACAGCCGGTATCCCGGAGCGGACAGCGGCTAACACGTCCCTGCTAACCGCTACAACAGCGCCACACACCGGTTCAAACCGAGCAGCTCTACCGTGGGGACCCGTTTACTTCCACCACAACAGTCGGCTACTACCAGGTTAGCTTCACGGAGCACCGTTACAGATACAGCAACATGGCACCACCTTTCCGTTCTCTCGTCTTCCTCGGAATCTGGAAGTTTCTTCGCGGCAGCTCCTCGCTCGGCTTCTGTCCCGGGGAGGGAGAACAGCTGAGGCTCCGGGCGCCTGTGTGCGGGTTCCTGCGCCGTTCAAGGGCTTCTTGTTCGGGCATTACACCGTCTCCACAGACAGCCTGATCGCCATTTTGGTTGGCTTGGGCCGAGCTAGCAGCGGGATTCTTGTGGTGCTCGTCAGCACCGGGCTGAACGAGGGCCGCATCCGTACATCCAGAGTTCTTTCTCCCCGCTGCGCTGGGATTCAAGGCCATGTTCGGCCACGGTAGCACTGCTGATCAGAGCGCCGCTTCACACACACACACACACGCACGCACACACTCGCTGCTCATCACCCAGCCTCCGCCATTGTGAAAGTGACGTCACCGTTCTTCTCCACTGCAAAAAGGTGCCGTCACTTTTGGAATATAAGAGAGAATCCGCGCCTACTATCGGTGGAGGCAGGAAAGTGCATCAACTGACGGAGGTCTGTTGTTAATGGTTTGGTCAACGTCAAAATCTTTGAACAAAAGCAAACCGGAAATGACATGACTGTACTGCACTGTACTGTACTCTACTGTACTGTCCTGTCCTGTACTGTCCTGTACTGTCCTGTACTGTACTGTACTGTACTGTCCTGTACTGTCCTGTACTGTACTGTACTGTACTGTCCTGTACTGTCCTGTACTGTCCTGTACTGTACTGTACTGTACTGTCCTGTACTGTCCTGTACTGTCCTGTACTGTACTGTACTGTCCTGTCCTGTACTGACCTGTCCTGTCCTGTACTGACCTGTCAGGGAGGGGTCAGGAGAAGGTTGGTTATTAATGAATTCATTTATTAATTGTTACGAGCCTGTAATCACTTGTTGGTGAAACTGAACTTTAGCTGCATTTTTTTTGCCTCACATCATACTTGACCACTGAACACACACACACACACACACTGTTTCCTGCAGTTATAAAAAGCAGCAGCGCTGCTTCACACCCCCTGCCCCCCCGCCGTGCTGCCCCTGCCGTAAACATCAAACTCCTTGTAGTGCAGGTAGTCTTTCAGCCTGGGGGGGAGGGGGAGGAAGTTGATGAAGCAGGGGGACCTGAGGCGCAGGCTGCTCAGACGCTCCCTGATCCTCAGACGACACAGGTGCTTCAAGCTGCGGGCGTTTCCTGAGGACAGACGAAGACGCTGCGCGGTCAGAGACCCGGTCGCTGTTGAAGGCAGCGTCAAAAAAAAACCCAACTTCTTACTTTGGATGCGACAGATGTGCGGCCACTGGGTCTGCTCCTCCAGACTGTCCTGAAGTCTGGTACAGAAGGACACGTGGTCGGTGTAGTCCAACATGATGAGCACCAGCTGAGCAGACAGGTGTCTCAGCCAGGACACGGAGACCACCTGACAGAACTGAAGTGGTCCACAGTCACTGGTACTGTCACTCACACACACACACACACACACACACACACACATTCTGATTGACTCACCACCGTGTCTTTGATGACGGGCGTGGCCCAGGGGGCGTGGCCGTGGGAACCGTCTCCGTAGGGACAGTCAAAGCAGCGTTTGACGTCGTAGCCGTGATTCAGGAGCATCCTCAGCATGACCTCGTCCTTCAGGGCAAACTGAAGGGCAGACGGGAAGTGGGTGGTGTTGACCCGTGAGTAGTAGTTTACATTTGCCCCAAATTTCAGCAGTAAGTTGATCAGGTCGTAGTTGCCCTGCCTCAGCGCCACCTGGAGGCAGCTGACGGGATCCTGGTTCACCATGGCCCCGGCTCCTAACAGCAGACGGGCGCAGTGAATGTCGTTGTTGGACACAGCGAAGAAAAGGGCGGAGCGGCGCTCATCATCGTACTTCTGTCGCACCTTTGGGTGCAGCATGAAGTTGGGGTCGTAGCCCGCCTTGAGCAGGATCTCCACACAGGGGGGGTGGCCCCCAGCAGAGGCAGAATGAAGAGGACTCATCCCACTGTCCTTCACAGCTTCCATGGTGGTCACTGGGACGAGGCGCTCCAGAGCCCTGAGGAAGAAACCAACAAGTCATCAGGGGGTCAGGGGGTCTGAGGGTCAGGGGGTCTGAGGGTCTGGAGGTCTGGGGGTCTGAGGGTCTGGGAGTCTGAGGGTCTGAGGGTCTGGAGGTCTGGGGGTCTGAGGGTCTGGAGGTCTGGGGGTCTGAGGGTCTGAGGGTCTGGGAGTCTGAGGGACTGGAGGTCTGAGGGTCTGGGAGTCTGAGGGACTGGAGGTCTGAGGGTCTGGGGGACTGAGGGTCTGAGGGTCTGAGGGACTGGGGGCCCAGACTCACGGCTCAGGTCTCACACACATTTAGAATTAGTGTCGCAGAACCAGTGAACCTGAACCATAGCGTCTGGGCTGGGTTCATATATTTATGTCCTTGGGTTTATTACCACCTCCAGGGTCAGAGGGGTAGAAGACCTCCAGGGTCAGAGGGGTAGAAGACTCACTCACAGTCTGTGTCCGTGGTAGGCCGCACGGTGAATGGGCAGGTGTCCACCACAAACAGTGTTTGGATCCGCTCCGTGGTCCAGAAGTACTGAGACGATGTCAGGGTTTCCACAAACGGCTGCGTCCGACAGAACAGTGTGGGACTCTGAGTCACAGCACCACACTGTGGCTCCTGTCAGAAGTACAGCAATATAAATGTAAAGAAAGTATAAATATCTATGAAGGAGTATTAACATCAACAGAACTGACGTGATGAAGGTCCAAAGGTTCTGTTGTGGACTTTGTTCCTCCTCCTCCTCAGTTCAGTACCTTTCTGCAGCAGCTCCTCCACTACGGTCAAATGTCCGTTCTGAGCCGCCAGAGCCAGGGGAGTTCTGTCGGTGATGTCACGGACGTTCGGGTCGGCACCGGACTCCAGCAGCAGGAAGACAAAGTTCTCCAAGCCTAAGAAGGCACACTCGTGGAGCGCGGTCCTGTTCAGTGGCCCGGTTTGGTCCACACTGGCCCGGTGCCTCAGCAGCAGCGTGGCCAGGTCGTACTGATCGTTCAGGATCGCTGAGAAGATACGGAGGAAGAAAAGTGAGTTTCTGAGGACATGTCGTCTCCTGAGGTGGACTCTGGGGGGGGGGGGCTTTATAGGTCTCTAAGAGAAGACATGGACAACACAACACTGCTGGGACAAAACTGTCCTCTGGGACACTGGAACAAGTCGGAACAAGCCGTGTCCCTCACAGCGTCCTCCTCGTCCCCTGGACTCCTACCTGCCACCAAGGGAGAATTCTGCTCATCGTCCTGGAGGTCCGGGCTGCTGCCGTTCTGCAGCAGGAAGGTGGCGCTGTCCCTGAGACCATGGACCACGCTCAGAAACAGAGGCGTCTCACCTTTCAGGGTGCGACAATGAGCAGCATCAGGTGGTGATGCTAGAACGCAGAGAGGAAATTCCTAATTTTCCAGACATTTAGGAAAATAGAAAAAAAGAAAAAGAAATAAGGAGAGAGCAAGTACCGGAGAAGATGAGTTCTAGAACGTTGGTGCTGGTCTGGACCGCTGCCTCGTGCAGGGGAGTCCATCCTCTGTGGTCCAGTCTGGACAGAGACTCCGGCTGTTCTGTCAGTCTGTTGAGGACGTCCTGGTCACCTGCAGTAGAACACGTGTGGTCAGCGACTCCTCCTCCTGCGGAGACGTCACAGTTTTCAGTTCAATCTGGTTACCGTCTTTGATGGCTTTGAAGATCTCATCTGGATCTTCACTGGGTTCACCATCACTACCAGGAGAGAGAGAGAGAACGTTAGCAGAGGTCCAGTTGAAGACAGAAGGTTCTGGGTTCAAACGGGTTACCCTGGCCCGAGGCCTTTGCGTTTCCTGTACTGGATCAGACTCTGTTCCCTCAGATACTGCGTGGCCTCGTCTTCATCGACGTCGTCCTCTGATTGACAACAGTCGTCTTCTGCCGGTGGGTTCATCGGTGACGTCTCTCTGTGGAGAAACAGCCATCGTGTCAAGAACACAGAAACAGGATATGACATCATCACGGCTAAATGCTTTGCTAGTACTGCTAACCGCTCAAAGTACTTTACACCATCTGACAGGGGGCGATGTTTTACCTCCCAAGTCTGGAATGGAACCCACAACCCTGCATTCACGATTCACGACCTACCATTCCATTGACGTACAGTGGGGGGGGGGGGGGGGGGGGGGGGAGTACTTTGAAAGTACTTTGTAATAAAACAGTTTGAACGTGGAACTCCCCTCGACGTTCCTGTCTTTGATTTTAGACAAAAGAAAATCCAGTGACGACAACGTTAATACAGATTTAAAGACATTTTAATTTGGAGGAAAAAGTTTGGGAAAGTTTTGACCTGCAGTTCCTACAGAGCCACTAGAGGGAGAAAAAAAAACAGTTCTGGTGTGTCTGGTTTGTCCTGTCTGTGACCAAAGACACTGACCACAGACAGATCACATCACAACCATAACACACAGAAAATAGACTGGCCATGAGTCCAGTCTACAGACCTGCTGTCCTTACCTTCAGTCTTGCAGCGCTCCAACAGTAGCTGTCACCACACACACTCCACACACACACTGGAGCTGTTGACATGGGTTCTATAAATACCACATGACACGGTGTTGGCAGTCGGAGCAGCCCTGACCCACGGAACTCTGGGAAATCTGGGAGTTTCTCCACAGCAGCTTAGCATAAAACCAAACAGCATAAATGTTGACATAAAAAGTCTACATTTCCAGCGGCCAGAATCGTCTCTCATAAAATCAATACCGTGGTCCACCAGCAGGGTTGCCCACATCAAAAAATACACACGTACACAAAAGTCATTTTATATTTCACCAGAAGATGGCAGTAGACTCTCCCCTGCGTGACATCATCATCAAAACCACAGTTTTTCAGCCAGACCTGCTGTGTTTACTGCAGTCTACACCTCAGTCTACACCTCAGTCTACATCTCAGTCTACATCTCAGTCTACATCTCAGTCTACACCTCAGTCTACACCTCAGTCTAAACCTCAGTCTACACCTCAGTCTACATCTCAGTCTAAACCTCAGTCTACATCTCAGTCTAAACCTCAGTCTACATCTCAGTCTACATCTCAGTCTACATCTCAGTCTACATCTCAGTCTACACCTCAGTCTACACCTCAGTCTAAACCTCAGTCTACACCTCAGTCTACATCTCCGCCTACACCTCAGTCTAAACCTCAGTCTACACCTCAGTCTACACCTCAGTCTACATCTCCGCCTACACCTCAGTCTAAACCTCAGTCTACACCTCAGTCTACATCTCAGTCTACATCTCAGTCTACATCTCAGTCTACACCTCAGTCTAAACCTCAGTCTACACCTCAGTCTACATCTCCGCCTACACCTCAGTCTAAACCTCAGTCTACATCTCAGTCTACACCTCAGTCTACACCTCAGTCTACATCTCAGTCTACATCTCAGTCTACATCTCAGTCTACATCTCAGTCTACATCTCAGTCTACATCTCAGTCTACATCTCAGTCTACATCTCAGTCTACACCTCAGTCTACACCTCAGTCTAAACCTCAGTCTACACCTCAGTCTACACCTCAGTCTACACCTCAGTCTAAACCTCAGTCTACACCTCAGTCTACATCTCAGTCTACATCTCAGTCTACACCTCAGTCTAAACCTCAGTCTACACCTCAGTCTACACCTCAGTCTACACCTTCACTTCACTTTAATGAAGGTCAATTTTTTATTGTTTTTCTACTGAGGAAAATAAACACGGAGCCGTATTACTGCCACACTGAGGGGGAAAAAGGAAGTCCTGGTGTGTTTTCAGCTTTGGTTCTTCAGTCTTTCCTGGTTCTGGCCTCTGGGGTTCTAGTCCCAGGAGTGGACCCTCACAGTCACACACACTGACCCACTGTGCTGCATCTGCATCAACGTGGGCAGTTATAAACCACATCTCTCTGCTGCTGTGACTCTACTGCCCTCTACCGGTGACACAGGGACAGAGTCACGTGGTCTCAGCGCCTGGCGTCATGATGAAGAGTCTGGAGACAAACGTCTTCCGTTCAGAACATCAGAACATCATAAACTTACTTCATGGAGTGACGCCATTCTCTCACCAGGTGGCGCTGCAGTCACAGGTGAGGCCAGACGACTCTGATCCACCATGATACCTTTGAGTGCCGCGTGGAAATGTGAAAACACATGCATTCAAGAGTGTCTTCAGTTCTGGAGGCAGGACACGTGACTGATGACAAACCTGGGGGACGCGGACCCCCAGGGTTACATGAGGGCATGTCGTAGGAGACAGGAGCTGACTCGGCAGTTTACAGACTGCAGTTGTACTTGTTGAAGGAGGAGAGTACGCGGCCGTGAGGCTTTACAAAGAGTATTACAGTTTATTAATATATTTTCATAAACAAGTTTAAGACCGTATCAAAAAATCAGTAAAAACATTAGATTTGAATCATTTTCATGAAGTGAGATCAGATATGAAATGGACAGAGTCCCCCCCCCTTCACATGATGATGTCATACTGTGGGGGGGCAAAGTTCAAACCTTCTGGTACCCTCACAGAATACAAAGTCTGATGAAACACACACACACACACACACACACCACCAGCCTCCTGGTCTTCTAACTGAGTGAACACAGACATCATCTATTCACAGCCACACAGTTATGTACATACCCTTTGACCTTTGACCTCTGACCTCTGTTGCCATGACAACAAGCAGTGCGCTGAAGTTAGCAGTGAGAGTACTCAGATACACAGCAGTAATATTACAGTACTCTAACATCCAGCACCCTCTGGGTGTGGTTCTTCACCCGACCTTTGACCCTTGACCCCAGCCTCAGCATTTTCATTGTCGGTGCAACAGCAGTAAAGATTATTTTTCTCTACCTTGACCAGTGAAATGACCAGTGGTCTGGTCAGTGTCCGTGTCGTCTGTAATAGTCCTGTGGTCCAGGGGTGAAGATGG